GCGGCCTTCCCGGCCCTGGCCAGCAGCTCTCCTCCCCGCTTGCTGCCTCCTTCTTCGGGGTCCTTCTGCGCAGGTTTGATTTCAAAGCCGCCGCTAAAGGAACCGTGGAGGCCCAGCTTGTCCCCCGGCAGTCGTGATTTTGGTTAATACTGTATTCATACAGCTGCCTCGTGCCAGAAATTCTGACAGCTCCCAAGCACAAATACTGAAGTACAGTTTTAAAAAGCATTAAAAAGAAAACCGAGATCTGAAACTGTGTGGAACAGGAATACCCCACCCCCCAGTTATTTAAGAGAACTGGGAGGGTAGAAGGGGTTGGCCCATACCGAAGAGAGCAAAAGATGGCCCCGGGGGAGCTCCTGTGAGAAGCCTCTTCCAGACGAGGGCACCACCACCAAAGGGGCCCTTCCCTGGGGCTCCCTCCTGGGGCCCACGGCACGGTGCTTCCGAGGATCTCTGGGCCTGGGCAGGGGCCCGTGCAGAGGCCGACTGGGGTTTGTCAGGCGGCAGCCAGCACTTTGCACGTGGCCCAAATCAGGCTGGAATTCCAGGGCCAACTTTAACACTGTGCCTAGCAGCTGTTTCTGCAGTCTGACGTCCTTCAGATGTGTTGAAAGGCAATACCCAGCTGAGAGGCGGGGCCCTGAGGGAAGGGGCCAGGTGCATGAATGGCTTGAGCAAGTGAGCCAAGCCACACCCAGTGGTGGCAGTCTTCCCCTGGGAAAGCCATCCTTCCAAAGGCCAAATGACACGACGCAGCAAAGTTGCACCCCAGAGCTATCCCTGGAACAGCGCTCTCCAGAGAAACTGGAAGACGGAAACATGTGGCACATGTAATGTGATGCATCAGCCGAAAGAGCAAATGCTATTTTGGGATGCTAATGGCTGAAGGTGAAGAGGAACAAAAGAACTTCTTGATGTGGATGAAAGAGGAGAGCGCAAAATTTGGCTTGAAACTCAACATTAAGAAAACTAAGATCACGGCATCTGGTCCTATCACTTCCAGGCAAATAGATGGGGAAGAAATGGAGGTAGTGACAGATTTTATTTTCCTAGGCTCCAAGATCACCGCAGATGGGGACTGCAGCCAAGAAATTAAAAGAAGCTTGCTCCTGGGGAGGAAAGCTATGTCAAATCTAGACAGCATACTAAAAGGCAGAGACATCACCCTGCCAACAAAAGTGCGTATAGCCAAGGCTCTGGTTTTCCCAGTTGCAATGAATGGCTGTGAAAGCTGGGCCATAAGGAAGGCTGAGCGCCGAAGGATTGAGGCCTTTGAATTGTGGTGCTGGAGGAGACTCCTGCGAGTCCCTTGGACCGCAAGGCGATCAAACCGGTCAGTCCTTGAGGATATCAACCCTGACTGCTCTTTAGAAGGCCAGAACTGAAGATGAAGCTCAGATACTTTGGCCACCTAATGAGAAGGAAGGACTCCCTGGAGAAGAGCCTGATGCTGGGAACAATTGAGGGCAAAAGAAGAAGGGGAAGTCGGCTGGATGGGGTCCCTGGGGCGGTGGGTGTGGGCTTGGGTGGGCTCCGGGGGATGGTGGAGGACAGGGGTGCCTGGAGCAGTGTTGCCTATGGGGTTGTGAGAGGATGGGCACAACTTTGTGACAACATTTTGGGATGCATTAACAGAAGCATTTCTTCCAAATCATGAGAAGTAGTAGTTGCTCTATATTCCTCACCAGTCAGACCCCACCTGGAATACCATGTGCAGTTCTGGGCACCAAGATTTTTAAAAGATGCAGACAGATTAGAAAAGGTCCAGAGGAGGAAAATGATCCAAGGTTTGGAAATGCTGCCCTGTGAGGAGAGACTGGGGGAACTGGGCATGTTCAGCGTTGAGAAGAGAAGGCTGAGGGGGGACATGGGATCCCTCTGTAAGTAAGGCTGCCACAAAGAGGGAGGCCAAGATCTCTCCTTACTGATGCCCCAGTGCAGGACACGGAAGAACCCATTCAAGCTGAGGCAACCCAGGTTCAGGCTGGACATCAGGAAGAGCTTCCTCACGGCCAGAGCAATATGGCAGTGGGACCAGCCGCCGGGAGAGTGGGGGGCTCGGCGAGTTGAACAGTCCCAGAGCTGCGCGTTCGCAAGCGCAAGATGCCTGAGCCAAGGCGCGCAAGCGACCGACTGCGTGCCTGCGCCAGCCTCGCTGAAGCCCGGCCAGGGAGCCCTCTCCCGCCGAGGACGCGGGCTGGGCTGCAAAGGCGGTGGGCCGCCCATGGGGGGCTCCGTGGCTTTTTGGGCTGGGCCTGGGTTAGGGCTTGTGGCACAGGCAGGGGAAATCTCCAGCCCCTTGAGGGAGGGGGCCTTCCACCTGCCTGGAGAACAGAAGCGTGGCTGGAGGGGCTGTGTGGGAGCGGGGAGGGCTGGCAGGGGTGGCCGGAGGGTTTGTATCAACCGACGTGTATTACGTGGGATTTATTTATGGATTATTTTATTTTATGCTAGCCAATGGCCAAGGCGCTCCAGTAGTTAACAAATGTTAAAAAAAAACCACATGCACAGGCTCACAAACAAGATAAAATTAACTTAAAACAGCAAAAGCAAAATAGCAATTGCAATTGAATCAGCAGAGAAGCAAGGGCTGTTCAGAATAAAATGTATTATTTAAAAATGACGCTAGAAAGTTAAACTTTCGAACAATGGGAAAATATAAAGACCTATAAAGCCCTTAACGGCTTGGGACCTGGTTATCTAAAGGAACGTCTGCGTCCATATATGCCCGCCCGCCCCCTACGATCGGCAGCGGATGCCCTTCTCCAGGAACCCTCCATGAAGGATATTAGGAGGGTGAGCACCCGGAGGAGGGCCTTTTCTGCGGTGGCGCCCCACCTATGGAATGCGCTCCCCAGAGAGGTCCGCCTGGCGCCGTCATTATTTGCTTTTCGGCGCCAGGCAAAGACCTTTTTATTTAAAAGTTATTTTAACTGTTAATTTATTATTATTGCATTTATAGATTCTAATATACAGCCGAGATGGTACCAGTTTTTAAACTATTGATTGTATTTTTATGTATGTTGTGAGCCGCCCCGAGGCTTTGTTGCGATGGGGGCGGCATAGAAATGTTTTAAATAAACAAATAAAAAGGTCTTCGCCGGGTGCTGAAACGAATACAACGCAAGAGCTCGGTGTGCCTGTTTGAGGAGTTCATTCCAGGCGGGGTGCCACCACAGACAAGGCCCTGCTCCGAGTAGCCGGGCTTTCACTTCCTTTGGCGTGAAATCCTGGAGAGGGACCCCCGGGATTTGGGTAGGCGCCTCTGGGACGAGGTGTTCCTCCAGAGAGCCTGGTCCAACCCAGCATTGCCCCAGCAGCCGAGCATCGGATAACAGCGCACATGGGGCCATGCGCATGTTCAGAAAGGAGTAACGGCGCCAGGCAATGACGTCATGAGATGCAACTCATCAGCTGCGAGTCATCTGAGCTTTGGCATGGCCAGGCAGTGCGCTGCCAAGGAGATATATATTTGCTTGGACTGGCTGTGAGTTGTTTTTTCTAAACTAAGCCCTCAGTTTTCAGGTTTTATTGCAGTGTTGGCACTTTGCGATAAATAACTGGGTTTTGGGTTGCAGTTTGGACACTCCGTCCCTAAAAGTTTCACTATCACGGCGTTAGAGTCAGGAAAATGAGGTGTCCTGGCATGATTTTGGTGGTTGGAATGTGTTTAGAATGGGCAGAAATGATCAGCTGTGCTGAAACAACTACTCAAAGAAGGCTTTTTCAAAATTGCCCCTTGTAATCGTATTTTGCTCCTATATTAGGGTTAAGGGAATTCACCAGGGTAGGGTCAGGGCAGTGGCGGTGAACCTATGGCACACGTGCCACAGCGGGCACGCAGAGTCCTCTATGTTGGTATGTAAGTCCAGTCGCCCCAGCATCGCCCCAGCAGCCGCGCATCGGATAACAGCGCACACAGGGGCCATGCGCACGCTCGGAAAGGAGTGGCGGTGTCAGGCAATGATGTTATGAGACACGACTGATTAGCCGCAACACGTCCAAGCTTTCACATGGCCCGTCAGTGCGCTGCCAGGGATATATATATATATATATATATATTTGCTTGGACTGATTGTGAGTTATTTTTTCTAAATTAAAACCTCAGTTTTCAGGTTTCATTGCAGTGTTGGCACTTTGGGATCAATAAGTGGGTTTTTGGTTGCAGTTTGGGCACTCGGTCTCCAAAAGGTTCACCATCACCGGCATAGGGGGTAAGAGGGAACCCTGACAAAGCAGCGCCTCCAGCTGCCAACCCGGTCGGCCTGTCCGGAAAGGGACCAGGGTCAGTGGTATGGAAGGCTGCTGAGTGTCCAGGAAACACAACGGGAGCACAGTCCTCATCCTCCTGTGGGCCAGGGACATTCCCCAGGGGAGCCGAGACACGCCTGATGGGAACGGCTCTGGACAGGGCGCCTCATTCAAGAGGGCCTGGGGCTGTTCTGCCCCCACCCGCTCAAGCTGCTTGCCCAGGAAAGGGGGGGGTGGCCATTTCATTTTAGACCCCCCCACAACCAAAGCTCTTTGGGTGGTTTACAATAATGTATGAAAGCAGAACAGTGCAGATATCATAGAATCAAAGCAGCTTTCCAGCAAAACCATACAGAATAAATGAGCTTGCAAACAGGAACACACCCGGGGTGCCAATCCCCTGGAGCCCCCGGCAGCCCGGCTCGTCTTGCTGGGCCTCAGCATGAGGGCGGCTCAGCGGCTTCGTGTGGCATTTTCCCCTTGGATACCGTGGTGCATTTTAGATTGTGTTTTAATGGGTGGCTGTGAACCACTGAGAGAGCTTCGGCTGTTGGGCAATGCAGAAATCAAACAAAAAAAGCTGGCATCAAAAAGAGGAAGAGCTTGGGGCCAAGTGGACTGCAGTGAGGAAGCTGTTTCAGAGATGGGGGACCCCGAGGGAGAAAGCCCCCCCTGCTGCCTCCTCCAAGCCTCCCTTGGCTCCAGCACTCGGAGGAGGCCCCCGAGGCTGATGCCGTGCCAACCGGATGGCATCTGATCTGGGAGAGGCGCCCCGACAGGCGCTGTGGCCCAAGCCACACCGGGCCACGCAGGTTGCAAGCAGCACCTCGGATCGGGGTGGGAAGCACGCAGGCAGCCGGTGCCGGTGGGCAGCACGGGTCCTCAGACCCACGGTCCTGCTGGTATCCTGGCTGCCACATTCTGCGCAGGCGCAGCGCCTGAACCTTCCTCAAGGCAGCCCCACGCAGAGCGCGCTGCGGTCGCCTGACGTGGAGACTCCGGGGCACAGAGCACGGACGCCAGCACAGAGGCACGAAGACGGCGGAAGGCACGCCAGGCCCCGGAGGCCTCCCAGGCCTCGAGGGACAGAGGGGGTCAAAGGGCACCCCAAGCGACGGCCCTGCTCCCTTGGGGAGGGCACCCCACTCAGTCCACCGTTGCCGCTAGGCACATCTGCCCCCCCCCCCCGCTGCCAAGGAAAGGGCAACAGGGCCGTGCGGCACCCGCAGGCTGCAGCTCCAAACCTCTGCGTACCCGCAGCAGCTTCCCACAGATACTAAACAGCATGCGAGACAGAAACGGCTCCTGGGGAGCTCCATGCCGGAGAATCTGTGCTTCCCAGGCGCCACCTTCTGGAGACCGCACTGCAAGTCGGAGCGGACCACTGCGAAGGAATACCCCCACCCCCAATTCAAGAGAGTTGCCCCAGAAGAATACCATGCTCAATTTATCTACCTGATGCGCATCCTTCCTTGAAGCAAACATACTCAAAGATGCCTTCCTCATTCTCCTCCAGCTGCTCCCCATCTTCTCCCCACAACAGCCCTGTGAGGTAGGATGGGCGACCAGCTGGCACCAAGGTGGAGTGGGGGCTAGCACTCCGAGTGCGGGAGTCCCAGTCCCACGCTGAGAGGTCCACGGGCTCCCGCTCTTTCCCGCTCAGCTCATGGCACAGGGCGACCAGGGCTGTTCCCATGTCCAGACTGGGCCAGAACCCCGACTGCAGCGGGCCCAGACAAGCGGCCACATCCACGAGCGCCTGGAGTTGGCTGGCAGCCAACCGCCTTGTCCAGGAAAGTTTCTGCTGCGGAGCTGACGGCCGGACCGGAAGCCCTTCTGAGGCGAGGGAGGGATTGTCAGAAGGACCCTCGCCACCCGCCCCAGGTGGGATCGCCCCCGTGCCCAGCGCCTGGCCCTTCCTTCGGGCATTTGTACGCCAGGAAAGGCAAGGACAGGGGCAGAGGCGGCTCCTTGGACCTGGCCAGCGGTGCCACGGTCAGCCCGGCGGTGGCTTTACCCCAGCAGCGGGGAGGCAGCGCGGGGGCCTCCAGGGCGGCCTGGGCCCCGGCCGAGCGCCCCGCTCTAAACTGCCGGGGCGGAGCCGGCGCTCGGTCCGGCCTGCCCAGCAGCGCTTCAGCGGGTCCCGCGCGGGCCGGGCCGGCGCTGCTTGGAGGGACGGAGAGGCTGATAGTCGCGGAAGGCAAGTGAGATGCGCACCGGCCGAACGGGCTCCGCGCCTGCCACCCCGCGG